CACACACACACACACACACACACACACGCTGCCACCCCTCCCACAGCCCTGCAGGTCTGGCTCACTAGGTGCCATCCAGCGACCAGCCCAGCCCCGCTTGGTTCGGGGCACCGCACACAGGGCAGCCCACTCCAGCCACCCCATTTTTTCAGCCACGAGTGCCCTGAACTGGTTTGTTGGCGGGAAGGGCTACAGAAGGGTCATGGTTACCTTTTTGTACCTGTCCTTGGCCGCACTGATGTCATCCTGCAGAAACTGGGCTTCGATCTGAAGGCGCAGGTTACTCAGCAGGGCTTCATCTGCCTCCTGCAATGAGAGGCATCGACTCTGAGGGGCCGCGGGGGGCGGGGGGTGGAGAGCACGGGCGTGGGTGTGACATCGGCCGGGTCTTACCAAAATGCAGACTTGTTTGGTGGGTCTGGGAGGGTGTCTGAGATTCTGCATTTCTAGCCAAGCACTGGGTTAGCCCATTGGACCTGGTCTAGAATAGTAGTTCTCAGCTGAGGGTGATTTTGCCCCCAAGGGGACATTTGGCACAATCTCGAGGCTATTTTAATTGTCACCACTTGGCGGCGGGGGGGGGGGGGGGGGGGGGGGGGGGGGGGCGGGGCAGGGGGGGGGGGGGCGGTGTTACTACTGGCATCTAGTGGGTAGCAGCCACCGATGCTGCTAAATATCCTACAATACTTAGGACAACCCCACACAAGAAAGAATTCTCCAGTCCGAAGTGTCAATAGTGCCAGAGTTGAGAAGCCTTGATCTAGAAAGATCAGGGAGAAAGAGTACATTTATATACAGATAACCTTAAAATTTAAGTTACATCTGTATTTGTTCTATATCCTATCATCAGTGAGTTGAGTTTCTAAGACTAAGAAACAGTTTTCCTTTAACACTGAAACCTTTATTTTAGAATGAAGCTAGACTAACACAACACTGTAAATCAACCATACTCCAATAAAAATTAAAAATAAACAAATACAATAGAATGAAGCTAGGCCCCTATCTTACCATTCACAAAAATGAACTCTAAATGGATGAAAGATTTAAATAATTTAATACTGAAACAAAAACTCCAAGAAGAAAACAGGAAAAAGCTCCCTGACATGGGTGTTGGCAATGATTTTTTTGGACATGACACCTAAAGCACAGGCAATGAACTCAAAAATTAACAAGTGAGACTACATCAAACTCAAAACACCTGTGCGCAGAAACCATCAACGAAATGGAAAGACAACCTATGGGATAGGAAACCTTAATTTTAATAGTTTTCTCCCAAGGACTGTTGACACCTTGAGGCCATGTATCTTCAACATAAAATTCATGTTTTAGCATGATTGCTGTGGTGCATAGTGTTTGTTCCTTTCAAGTTGGAAATAACACTTAGGACAGAAGATTGAATGTTCTCACCAAACTTTTTGATAATTCACCAACGTTTATCTCATTGATCTTTTTTTTCAATAAATTTATTTATTTTATTTATTTATTATTTTTGGCTGTGCTGGGTCTTCGTTGCTGCGTGCGGGCTTCTCTTGTTGCGGAGCACGGGCTCTAGGCGCATGGGCTTCAGTAGTTGTGGCTCTTGGGCTCTACAGCGCAGGCTCAGTAGTTGTGGTGCACGGGCTTAGTTGCTCCGCAGCATGTGGGATCTTCCCGGACCAGGGCTCAAACCCGTGTCCCCTGCATTGGCAGGTGGATTCTTAACCACTGCGCCACCAGGGAAGCCCATATCTCATTGCTCTTGTTTAGATCAACCAAGTAGGTATGAGTAAGTATTTGTGCTCTTCATAAGATAGTGCTGTGATGTCTGGAACTGACTTAAATACTTCAACAATTCAGCGAAATGTTACAGGTCCAAGTTCCTTGCCCCCTCTGCCACGCCCACCTGCCAATACCTGAGGGCTTGCTAAGTGAATTCTTACTGACTTCCTAATGACTTGTTAAAAAGCATGATGAACGTTAGCAATGCGCTCTCACTGACAAAGGTAGAAATGTGGTTTGCTAAAATATTTAAGATACTCCCTACCACTGCGTGAACAGAGTTAAGACAGTCAAGGCATGTGGACAGGCCAAGATATTCTGAGACACGCGCCATCCTGGTACCAATAGCGTTTAGGTTCCAGGGAGGCATTAGGCCTGCACTCTTAGGAAAGGCACTTGATTCCTTATAATCGTTCCTGTAAAAGACCGCTGGTGTAGGGAGATATGATTGTCTGATGCTGACAGCAAGGATACCAGAATCCTGACCCTATTGTATCACCTGCCTTGAATGAGCTTTTCATGCAAAGTGTTGCCTTAGCACCTAAAACAGCAGAGGTCTGGGACTTCGTGGAGCCTGGAGAAGAGGCTGTATGAACCTTAGGGACTGCATCAGAAAAAAGGCTTATTTAATAAATATCCATTCACGTGAATTTGGTCTGAAACTTCAGCAAGATTGTCAGGGATCGGCTAACCCTCACCCAACTCAAACCTCTGAAACTATTTTATTTACCCAAGAGAACTTCAGAGTTTATCTTAAAGAACTTAAGAGTTGTGCTAGATCAGATTGGTCAATTTGCAATCGTTAGCAATGTACCTTCACACATGCCTTTTGTGTAGGTTTATGCAAGTCAAAATTAAATAAGTTGGGACTTCCCTGGTGGTGCAGTGGTTAAAAATCCACCTGACAATGCAGGGGACACAGGTTCAATCCCTGGTCTGGGAAGATCCCATATGCTGCGGAGCAACTAAGCCCGCGAGCCACAACTACTGAGCCCACGCGCCACAACTACTGAAGCCCGCGCACCTAGAGCCCGTGCTCCACAACAGGAGAAGCCACCGCAATAAGAAGCCTGTGCACTACTATGAAGAGTAGCTCCCGCTCGTCACAACTAGAGAAAGCCCGTGCACAGCAACGAAGACCCAATGCAGCCAAAATAATAATGATAATAATAAAATTTTTTTAATTAAATGTTATTCCAATACAGGGTTGTCCAACCCTCAGGCATAATTTTAAATTTCTTAGTAGCCCCATCAAATAAAAGAAACGGGTGAAATTAATTTTAACAATATATTTTATTTCACCCAATATACCCAAAATCTTATCATTTTATCATGTCATCAACATTTTAAAAGCTATTGATGAGATATTTTCCTTTTTCCCAGGCTAGGTCTTTGAAACCTGGTGTGTATTTCACACTCACAACACATCACATCGATTTGAACTCTCTGCATTTTGACCCCTCCCCAGCCTCACATGGCTAGTGGCCCCTGCGCTGGACACGGAAGGTCTAGAGGACTGATTTTAGACACATGGACCATCTTGTCTTCCTCAGTGTCTCCTGCTCTAGGGTGAATCCCACAGCCCTTTCAGCCTCTAATTTCCAGTTACCAAATCCTTTCCCCTGAAAACTCTGAAATCCCTTCATAGATACCAGGGATGCCAACGCTGGGCAAACAGGTGGGGAGGGAAGAAGGGAAGGACCCCAAGACCCAGAGCCGGTTCCTCACCCGCAGCCCCTGGACCCTGCTGCATGCTTTCGCCGAGGTGCCACCCACTTCTCAGCCCTGGAGCTGGGCCTCCGCTGTCCAAGCTCCGCTGTCCATCGAGAGAAGCAACAGCATGTGCGAAAATCACACCCTCTAAGGGACCCACCCATGGTCTGAAGTATTATTTTTAAATCAGAAGTAAAAGAATGAACCAAATTATTAAAAGGGATGCATGTCACCAGGTACGGGGCTCTGAACTAAAATAATGTGAAATCCGTCTTTGGGTGTTTTAGCTTCTGGGCTCATTCTTTTGATAAATGCGTTAACCAGTCACTGACTTTCGATACGCTCTGCCTTCAGGAGTTTACCATCCTGGGGGCTTAATGATGGGTCCTCAAATCCTGTGTCACAGGGATGGTCACACAGAGTACAATGAAAACACAACAGTATTGCCCTTGTTTCAAGACCTGTGCTGCCCGACTCTCCCCACCCCCCAGCCCCCGGGAGAGCAGAGCATTACTGATGCTCTTGTGCAAACGCCCCAGGGAAGGTGGGATGCCCCTTGGAGGTCCTGGTGAATGGCTTTCTGAATTACTCAGGACTGTCACATAAGCCTGGGGAAGCCCCTTCATGACAGACGTGGTGAAGGAAAGAAAGCCTGGGTGTCTTTCCAGCAGTGGGCAAGGGCTGAGGAACCAGATAGATCCTGGGTAATTTACAGGCCTTGGGAAGGACAGAAACCAGGGCAGTCCCAGCAATCCAAGCAGCTGGGGTCCACGGCACAGCCCTTGGGATGACCCAGCTCCAAAGGCATTCATCTCTGCCCCCAGGAGTCACATCTCTGAGAGAGAGCTGCGATTGGCCCACATGGTCACATGACTGTCGTCTTGCGGACAATCCTACTAGGACTACACTGACGGGAAGGAAAATCAGCCCCACCCCCTTGAGGCACGGTGGTTCCTTGTGAAAGTGATCCTCAGCTCTGGGGATGGGACACTGCTGAGTGGGCGTGGCTAAATCCGGGTCAGAGACGAGGCAGTGCGGGGTGGAGACGTGAGCTTCACCTTCACTTTCGGGATGCTTTTCTACTCTCCCCACCCTCGGCCCCTCAAGACTGCTGAGGATGGAATGGGGCAGAGAATTCTCAAACATCTTAATTTTTACCAAAAATTCACCCACAATTGATACACAATTACTGGAGCTGAAGAACTGAAAGTGAGGTTTCAAGGGCCTTTTGTGTTATTACGTATAAAGGGATCGAACACTCAAGATTTTAGAAATAGAAGGGACCCTGGGACTTCCCTGGTTGCGCAGTGGTTAAGATTCCAAGCTCCCAATGCAGGAGGCCGGGGTTCGATCCGTGGTCGGGGAACTAGATCCCACATGCATGCCGCAACTAAGAGTTCACATGCCACAACTAAGGAGCCCTCGAGCCGCAACTAAGACCCGGTGCAACCAAATTAATTAATTAAAAAAAAATAGAAGGGACCCTAAAGGTCCTTGGTCCTCACACTTTTTAAAGCCACATGTGTCATCCTTCAAACAAAATATCCCAGGGAAGCCAACATACAGAAGGAAAGCAGAGATGTGCTTCTTGAAGGACATGACGGGGGGACAGGAACCCCGATCGGCTGGCAACCCTCTTCCCTCAGAGGCCCTTCAGCAAATCCATGGAACCCGAGGACTCTGACAAACGCAGCTCAGAAACTGGAGTCTCACCTTACGGACGGGGAGATATCGCACCAGTGGGCCGTTCAGCTAGTTAACAGAGGTTAACTGGAGATAATGGGAATGCGATCTTCCCTCTACTAGTCAGGAGTTGAGGGCTGAGTCCTGACCCTGTCCTGCAAGGTGCTTGCTGTCCGTCCCCCACCTCCCTCTGAGGGTCAAGCCAAACAACCACTCTTGGGTCCCATCAGCCAACCTTTAAAAGAGTGACACTCCCAAAGGTGAGTTGCTGCCGCTGGAATGTGCAGTTGCTGATACGGGGAGAATTCATTTGGAAGTGTTTTCTTTTGTTTGCACCAGAACTCAGAAAT